TTATTTCTGATTTTAGGCCTGCAGTGCTATGAATTTCATTTGTAGAACTATTTTTGTTGTGCCCCATTGATTTGGGGTTGTTGTATCTTCATTTTCATTTGTTTCAAGGTATATTTTGATTTCTTCCTTGATCTCGTTTTTAAGTCATTCAGTGTTTAGTAATGTTACTTAGCCTCCATATCTTTGTGATTTTCTTTTTTTTATTGATTAATGTATTACATATGTGTTCTTATCCCCCCATTGCCCCCCACCCCCCACTCATGCCCTCACCCCCTTGGTGTCTGTGTCCATTGGTTACGCTTATATGTCTTTGTGTGTTTTTCGTTTTGTTTTGTTTTCTTGTGATTGATTTCTAGTTTCATGCCATTATGGTCAGAGAATATGCTTGATATGATTTCCATCTTCTTAAATTTATTAAGACTTGTTTTGTGTCCTAACATGTGAGTTTATCCTAGAAAATGTTCCATGTGCCAGCCTTAAGTCTTATCTCTTCTCCAAATAACTTTCCACCTGCCACATGCAGGTTTCTTTTTAAATACCAGGGTTGTCCTGTCAACCCCCTGGCTTAATGCTCATCAGGTAGCTGAGTATTCTCCAGTGTAAAATCCACCTCTTTACAATAGCACACAGGATTTAGTTATCTGGACTCCACCTCTCCACCCTCTTACTCCTATGCTTCATAGTCAACATCTTTCTTGCTCTTTTCCAACTACAGGGGAGCATCTCAGCCCTATAGTCTTCACACATAACATATCATTCCTTCTGCCTAAAATGCCCATCCTCAACCTGGAAAACTTGTAACCATCCTCTAAGCCTCTGCCAAAGCATCACCTGCTCTTTAAGTCTTTTCTTACTCTGACTTTGTCCTCAGTAACAGTCTACTTCTGTCTTTTCCATGGCCTTCTAACTACATCTCCATTATAATAAATAATCTGTTGTATTTTAGTAATTTATTGTCTCCCACCATACTGAGATCCCCAGCTTAGTAAGCCTTGTACATATCATAGAGGAAACTAAGACATAAAGGTGTTCAACATGCCCGTTAAATAACTGAGTGAAAAGAATGAAGTCCAATAGCAATCCTATCTTTAATTCTAGAAGAGCTACTTCTGTTTTACACTCCCCCCATATGGTTGAAGTAACTGGCCAGCTCTTTCATTCTGCTAATCAACTTTGAACTTGCTATCAGCAAAACCCTTGGCCTTTCTCCAATCGCCCTCATTTTGTACTTGGGCACTTGGCCTGAGAGCAAAGCTCTACATTGATCCCTAATAAATGTCATCTCCTTAGTTCTAGCACATTGTTTCAGGCTGTTAAAATGTTTTTGAAACTTTATCCTGTCACTCAATCTATTAGCTAACACTCCCAGTCTTGTATCATCTGAAAATCTAAGAAGCTTACCATCTATTCTCATCAAAAACATTGATAAAACTCAGACCAGCTTGGTATTTGCTAGATAGAATATTGGGCAGCTATTGAAATGTTACCTTTGAAGTATATATATATATACAAAATCTACAATTTTTAAAACCACAAAATTTATATACAATATGATTTCAATTATGTAACTAGATATGCAAATGAATGACAATCTATAAGGACAATAAAAGCAAAACAACAACTAGGCTGTATTTGGGTTGATGATTAGTAATACTCATAAAAATAACTAATATTTACTGAGTGTGAGGTCCAGGCACTATAACAAAATGAGCTTTACATGAATTAACTCATATAATCTTTGCAACCATGCTATCAGGTAGCTATTATCATTAACTATTTTACAAATGGAGAAATTAGGGCACAAAGAAGTTAAGCAGGCTGCTCCCAGTCACATAGATGATCAGTGGCAGAGTCAGGATTTCAATTTAGGCATACATGCTCCACTCTGCTTTATTCACGTATGCAGGTACAAGATTGGTTTTGTAAACCATGTAAAATTTGTTGTGTAAAATTACAATAATAACAAATGCAACCCCAGCTGGTTTGGCTCAGTGGATAGAGTGTCAGCCTGCGGATTGAAGGATCCCAGATTCGATTCCAGTCAAGGGCACATGCCCAGGTTGCAGGCTCGATCCCCAGTAGGGGGCATCAAGAGACAGCTGATCAATGACTCTCTTTCACCATTAATGTTTCTATCTCTCTCTTCCTCTCCCTCCCTCTCTGAAATCAATAAAATATATATTTTTTAAAATGCATTTATAATGGAACTCCCATTTGTCCCACTTCTAGGAATATATCCCAAGAAACCAGAAACACCAATCAGAAAGGATATATGCACCCATATGTTCATAGCAGCACAATTCACCATAGCTAAGATCTGGAAACAGCCTAAGTGCCCATCAGTAGATGAATGGATTAGAAAACTGTGGTACATCTACACGATGGAATACTATGCTGCTGTAAAAAAGAAGGAACTCTTACCATTTGCAGCGGCATGGATGGAACTGGAGAGCATTATGCTAAGTGAAATAAGCCAGTCAATGAAGGAAAAATACCACATGATCCCACTCATTCATGGATAATAGAGACCATTATAAACTTTTGAACATTAATAGATACAGAGGCAGAGCTGCCTCAAACAAATTGTCAAACTGCAGCGGGAAGGCCGGGGAGGGTTGGGGGGCAGGAGGTAGGGGGGTAAGAGATCAACCGAAGGACTTGTATGCATGCATATAAGCATAACCAATGGACATAAGACACTGGGGGGTAGGGGAGGCCAGGGGACTGTCAAGGGCGGGGGAAAAAAGTACACATATGTAATACGCTTTGTAATACTTTAAGCAATAAAAAGAATGCATTTATAGCTAAATAGCACAGAGCTGTGACTTAGCAAGTCATTTACAACCTCTTTATAGACTATCACCATTCATTTATGGCTATTTCTAATCAATGTTGATTTCTCTACCTAACATTCAGTCCATATTTTCCCATATTATTTATGTGGATAAAAACTTAGTCCCCTCAAAGGCTTTTCTTTTTTTCCTGTCCAGATACTAAAGGTCCTTATTGATTGTCTTCAGTTTTCTCCCCTAATTTCAGTTCATAGCCTTCTAAATATGATCATCACAGGGTGGTACCATTTGTTTGTACTTTCTTTAGTTATTTTCATCTCCTGTCATCTTTTATAGAGTTATTCAACAAACATTTATTCAGCAAACTTCTATGTGCCAAGCAATGAGCACAATGAATAAGATGGCATCCTTATCCTCAAGAAGTTCATAGCAAACAATTATAATAACTGCCTTTTTTATGCTAACCATATCCCAGACACTGTGTTGAGTGCAGTATCTTATATGAGAGAGTAAGGTGGTTAAGTGTGTGGGCTCCAGAGTCAGAAGAACTGGGTGCAAATCTTACCTCTTCCTGCCTGTGTGACCACTCTGTACCTCAGCTTCTCATTTGAAAAAAGAATAGTATCTACTTCATAGGGTTATTCTGAGAATCAAATATTATAATACAGTGAAAACACCACAATGCCTGCCATATAGTAAGAGCACAACAAATGTTAACGATAGGTATTTATCCTATCAATAACTATTTTAGAGATCAGGAAACTTGAAGTTTAAAGTGGCTATGTAACTTTTCTAAAATCAAATAGTTAATAAACACTTATAGCTGGGTGACCATGAGCAAGTCATTCAATCTCTGAACCTCTGTTTCCTCAGCAGTAACAATGTTTTTATAAGGATCATAATGATAATGTGAGTAAAAGTGCTTAGTGTGCTTTTATAGTACTCAATAACTATTAGTTAACTAGAGGCCCAGTGCATGGAAATTCATGCACTGGAGCGCAGGGGGTGGGGAGGGTCCCTCAGTCTGTCCTGCCCCCTCTCATAGTCCGGGATCCCTCAGGGGCAAGAGGTGACCCAGCAATCAGGGAAAGGCAACACCCCCATCACACCTCTGCTGCTGCCACTGCCAGTAGCGCAAGCCTCGGCCGGCCCTGGTTACCTGAGCTCAGGCCAGCCCTGGGCATCTGGGCCAGCCACCATCCGAGGCTTGCCTGCACCTAGGTCAGCCCTGCTTGCCTGAGCCTCAGTCAGTGGGGGGTGCAGGAGGACCCAAGGCCCCTGGCAGGGGTAAGAGGATTCGGGGCTGAGGGGACTCTGGTGGCAGGCATGTGGAGAAGCCAGCCCTGGCTGAAGAATGGAGGATACTCTCAACGACATGAGTTATAACTTCCAATTTGTTGGACACCACAGTCAGGCTTCAGCTTCGGGGGAGGGAGGAAGAGAGGGATGGGCAGCTGGTTTTAGGAGCCTGGGTGAGCTGTCAGTCAGTGGGGGGGGTGCAGGAGGACCCTAAGCCCCCAGCAGGGCAGAGGGAACTCTGGTGGCAGGCATGCGGAGTGACCAGGCCTGCCCCCACTGTGGATGCTGCCATCTTGTGAGGGCATGATGGTCAATTTGTATATTGCCTCTTTATTATATAGGCTATAACATTAAAAATAACCCATATAAAGTATTAATTCAAAAATCCGTAAGCTTCTCAACTGAGCTGAGCACCATCCTGGGAACTGTGGGAACCACAATAGAAGTATTACAAATGATAAGTGCTCATGTTCACTCAGCTAGCAAATGTCAGAGCTGACATTTTAATCCACAGCAATATAATCCAAGCACCATAATGCAACTGCCACTGTATTCTTCCCTCTATGTAATTAAACTGATGGTAAGTCACATGGTCTAAAGATGAGAAAGTTTGGTGGAGGAAGTCTTCAGCCCTTGAAATAAGTCTTGCAGTACTATAGGTTCTATGTAGACTAAGAAGAGGGAGATGGTAGTATAGGTGGAAAGACAAAGCATAAGAAGTAGAAGTGAGAACAAACAAACAAACTGATCTAGATGGTTTGAGTTGGGGAAGAGACCAAAATATGTGAGATCATCAGTCTACCTGTTTGGATACAAATATGGCAGCCCCCTTATTAGCAGATCATCCCACATTTTCTCTCATCTTGCTCTACCTAAAGAATTAACTAACCTGTTCTTTTCTCTCTTTAGGCTCTTTGAAACCCTTCAGTCACTTTTCTGGTCTGTATTCGGACTTTTAAATCTCTATGTCACCAATGTGAAAGCCAGACATGAGTTCACAGAGTTTGTGGGAGCTACCATGTTTGGGACATACAATGTCATCTCCCTGGTAGTGCTACTGAACATGCTGATAGCCATGATGAACAACTCCTACCAGCTTATTGCCGTGAGTAGCTTTGTTTTGCAAGGGTGGTTACCTTTACTAGGATGGTTTCGGGGGACGAGTCACATTGGCAATCTGTATGCTTCACTTATTTTACATTAGCTTTCCTAGTTGTTAGATTGAATTATTTCTTTCCAAGACAACTCAGTTTGGACTCTCAGTCCATTGAAACTCAGAAATCTAAAAGATGTTCTACTTAATAAGGTTTTTTAGTTACCTGATAAAAATATTTTTAAATCTCTGAATCTGTTTTCTTGTCTTAGTAAGGCGAGCTCAGGAAGTCTGAGTACAATTTAGTTACTACCTGTCACCCTACTAACCTCCAGAGGAGATTGAGCTGATCCAGTTCTCTAGGAAACAGGGCCTTATCTCTCTTCACTGCAATCATCTTCCTCCCAAAACGGAGCATTCCACTGACTAGGACAACCTTCTCAGACAGAGTGGCTATGTTTTTTTTTTTTATCAAGGATATATGAATAACTGTACTTCACTGTGAGATGCTCTTAAGTACAGTCCATAGCTGAATATTTCTTCACTATCACATACCATTTGGATCAGCAATATTTAGTACTCTAAACTAGAAATGGCAAAGGTATAGGATATGTGATCAGTCTGGGCCCTGCCTTGTTTTGTGATGCCAAAATATCCAGCAAAGAAGTTCTAGCTATCAGAGGTCCTATTTAGTTAAATATCACTGAATTTGAATATTTAGTTAATATTAAGATGCTAAAACACCCCCATGGGTTCATCTCGTGCTCAAGATTTTGCTGTAGCATTAAAAGGACAGAATAAAAAGACCCAAGTCTTATATTCCTTCATAGGTGCTATTTTTCTGACTTGGTTTACCACTGAGGAGTCATTTAACCTATAGAAAAGAAGCTTAATATTTGGTTGTGTGTGTGTGTGTGTGTGTGTGTGTGTGTGTGTGTCTGTGAATGTGTCTATAGGCCTACCTCGTTTTATTGTGCTTCACAGATGTTGCATTTTTTTAGAAATTGGAGACAGGAACCTCCACCAGCAAAAATATTATTATTGCTTTATTGCAATATTCACTTTATTGCAGTGGTCTGGAACCAAACCTACAACATCTCCAAAGTATGCCTGTACGGGCACACATATGTACACACATATTTCATAAATATTATTGGTGATAGTGAACGTCTGTGATCCATTTCCATTAAGAACAGACAAAAGAGGAATGAATTCATGTAGTAGCAGGAAATTTTTGAGTTATATGTATGGAAGAACTTCCTAATGACAAATGGCAATCTATCCTATCTAATAAAAGAGAAACATGGTAATTAGCATATGTCCACTACCCTTCCCATTGGCTAATCAGGGCGATATGCAAATTAACTGTCAGCCAAGATGTCGGCCGGCAGCCAGGCAGCTTGAAACTAACATAAGGCTTGCTTGCTTCAGTGACGGAGGCCTCCAACGTTCCCCGCCTGCTGCTGCAGGCCTCTGAGCGGGCAGTTTGAAACATAGTAACATATAAAAGCTAAAAAAAACTCCAGACACCCTCTTTCAGCGAGCCAGGATGTCAGAGCTGGAGTCAGAATTGGAGTTATATATTGTTTCGATTACCTACTCTCAGCAGCAGAGGCCTAAGAGGTGGAGCCTCAAAGCTAAAGCTGGCCCAGAATTAAAAAAAAGAAAAAGAAAAATAGGAGCGG